AAACTCGGGAAACGCTCGAGCAAAACACGTCAAAAGAAAATTAATCATAAATTGGCGACTAAAACACAAGACATGCAACTGTTCTAAACTCAATGTTGTCACAAGAAAGATTTTCTTTTTTTTATTTTGAAAGTTCCTAAAGAAGCGAGTTACGTATAACTTGGAGCAAATTCGAATTTTTTATGCTAACTTCGAATAGAACAACTAAAATTACTCAGCATAAATAAAAAAATTGCTTGGCAAAAATGGGAAAAACCAGATTTCCATTAATTGAAAGAGTTTAGTTACAAACTAAACTAAAAAAGCAAAAGGAAAAGGGAAAAGGCCTAAATAGCATGGGTTGGAACATTGTCAGCAGCAAGAGTTTGGGCAACGTCCTCGGGGGCGAGAGCCAGGGCATCGTTGGGTGGCTCGACTAATCGAAGGTCACTGACATCAGCTGGTAGCGTCGACATCAGCTAGCAAAGAGGCTAGCAGGGTCGGGTTTTCGACCTCTCGCTTGACCACGACTGCATCCTCTTCGTCGCCTCCTTCCTCATTCTCGTTTTCGTCGGACTCAGAGCTGTCTGAGTAAACAAACTCCAAGCCCTCTGCCTCAACTTTAAACCTCTCGATCTCCTTCTGGTAGACCACAAGAAAGAAGGAGAAGTCAAGCGAAGGATGGGCCTCCCACAACTGCTGAACCAGGTAGACCGAGGTCTCCTAAGCGTGGCTCTTCACTTCTGGCTTCAGCCCCTTAACCTCTTTTTTGAGGTTAACGACTTCTGATTTGGCCTATTTGCGATCCTCACTCTCTTGGAAGAATTGGCCTAAGGTGCTCACATATTTGGATTCCTAGTCCGACAGAACCTTTTGAGCCACAAAATGCTCGGAATTCAACTTGTTGTTGGCACCCTGCTGTTGTGCCAATTGTTCTCGACCTTGGTCAAGTTCGCCTCAGCCTTTGTCCAAGTAGCCTTACTTACTGAGAGTTTGTCGAGTAACTCTCTCTCCTTGACCTCGAAGGTATTGGCCTGCATCCTTAATGGCTCAAGCTCAACTCGCAACAACTCCCGTTCTTTCTCTACCACGTCGGCCCTCACCAAGGCGTCTTCCTTCAGCTTCTCTGCTTCTTGCCATCCCACATGGTTACCTTCCAAGGTGAGATAGCTTTCATCAAGGAAGAGCTTAGTCACCACGTAAGCCTGAAAAAGAAGCAATTAGCAAAAAGTAAAGGAAAGAGCCTCTAAACAATGTGACAAAGGTGAACTACCAATACCTTGGTGACATAGCTAGAGGCACATAAGCAAGGTGCTCGTGAGGAGGGGCGGTCTTCAGCATCTCATAGGTCCACAACGAAATGGCCACCCTGGCTGTCGAGGCTCCAACGCCTATGTGCTCTAGAAGCCCGTCAATCGTTTCGTCTAGTGTGGCCTGAGCTACCTCTTTCATTTTCCTTCTACCATGTCGCAGAGGCGAACTCTCCCTGCTTTCTACAGGGATGATAGGCTCGTCCATCAGGACAAACTTCTTCTTGGTCGTGCTCTTGGCCAAGATGTTCTTCAGGCCACTAGTAGCCCCAACAATCTTTTTTCTCGAGCTTGGCAATTGCTCAGTCACTTTCTGCTTTCTTGAGCCTCCTTGTTGCTCGATCGACTTCTTCTTGCTCGAACCCTCTTACTGCTCGGTCACTTTCTTCTTCCTTGAGCCTCCAGCTTGCTCAGAGATTTTATTCGCCAAGCCCTGGAGGAGCTTGGGGGCACCTTTCTGTCTGACTGCCTTAGAAGCAGTCGCAAGCTTCTTTGCACTTGGGCCCTCCCCTAGTTCACCATCGTTGCATTTGAGGGCCAACAGTGAGACATCTTGCCCGGTTGCACTGAAAGTCTCTACGGGCTACTTCTTCACCAAGATGATTAGCGACTTCTTGGCAACCCTGCGAGCTAGTGCTTTCTTCTTCAAACCTTTTGGCTTATCGACCCACATATCTACAAAGAAGGATACGCTGTTAGCGACCTATCAAGATAAGGACATAAAGAGCAAGCTACCATGCACTTACCTTTCTTAAAAATGGTGTAAAACTTCATTGAGTCAGTGCAAAAGCAGTACGCTGTTAGCTGAGCGAGCGCGATGAGCTTGGTAATGTCGCACTCACTGCTAGAAAGGTTGCTAAAACGTTAAAGCCACTCTAAGCTCGCTTCAGGAAGTTTTGCTTGACGTTTACTGTAAAACAAACGGAATGTAGGGTTAGTTCGCTTGCCGGACTAGGAAACCATCTTTATTCGCACAAAGGTCGGAGTCTTACTAGCTTCTGAGGCAAAAATGACGATCTCCCTTGCCTCATAGAAAAAATATTGGGAGTCCCAATTCGAAACCTTTTTTGGGACTCCGACCAAACTGTTAAAGTGTACTTTCCTCGCCTTAGAGAGGTAGTACGTTTGGTCATGGCTTTTTTTCAACCTATATAGGTTGACAAGCTCTTTCACAAATAGCTCGCCCAACTCAGCTATCATGTACGCTATGTGCATTCCTATTATGATTATATATGAGTTCCCCGTCAATTGGAGGGGAGCAATGTCAAACCTATTTAAAACATTGGCAATAAAGTAGTAACGGGGAATAGACATCCCACACCTCAAGAGGGTATATGAGATCGCGGCCCAACCTTCGGGGGGATTTTTCCGGTAGAAACCTCTTGGAGCCCTCAATGGAAGTTGAGTCGCATAAACGTCTTTCATGTGCTCAATATTATCAACCCCAATCAAGGAACTTGGTTCCTTCTATGGCTTGTGAACTTGAGACCTCCTTGGTGGAGGAGTCTTCGCTGAACCATGGTCCGAGGAGCCTGTAGCGTCGTTGTTCAAACTTTTTACAATGAGGTCCTTGAAAACCTCTAGGACAACCTCCCCGGGAACAACCGAAGTTGTTTGGGAATCAAAAAGGCGATTTATGCTATGGCTACTAGACGAAGACATGGTGAAAGCACACCTCTGGATACCTGAAATAGAAGCGACCAAGTGTCAGAGCTCGAAATTTCTGTGACCTATCCACATTTTGCTTTCAGTTCAGGCATCCAAGGTAGCTCACATCGATCGACAGATACAAGTGAGCTACCAGGATTCCGGCGGCCACCTCCTTAAACCCTTCTAAAACCTAAACCAGTGGAACTACTTAAAAAACCCTAAAAAGGCTAATTTGGCCACGACAATGGCCACCCTTAAGAACAAAAAAAAGCTTGAAATACATAGGGAAGAAGACAAGAGCCTTACTAGAGTGTAAAAGCATTAGGATTTTACTAGAAAGTCGTTGTAAAATTGGAAAGAACAACGACGGAACAAAAGCAAATAAACTCTGAATATTTTTGCAAGTGTGCAATTCTTACAAAGGATGCCCGTTTTTATAGTGGTGAGCATGGGAGATGAAGAGGTGGGATTCGACCTTGACCGTTGATCTTCGACGAATCTCAACCCTCCATTTATCGAGCAATCTTGACTGTTCGACGTGGCCATGTGTCGATCATCCACAAAGGACGATCAACTGTCAGACTTCTGTAATCATAACCATCGACGCACGTCACCTCGACTTCGCGCGTGAACAAGTATAGTCGCCCACGCATGACGAAAAGTAACTGCAAAAGCCGGCTGCATTTAATGCAACACAACTGCATGGAAATTACTCGCACGCCCCTCATTTCAAATTCCAGGTTTGTCTTGAATGTTATAGCAAAAAAAAGGCTAAATCTTGTTCACGTCGACTGAAATTAAGTCTAACTCATGAAGCTCGGCCAAATATGCATTTAACATACAACCTGTGAAGTTCGAGCTTAATATCAAATCGAGTAATTAGTCTTCGAAGCTCGAAATGAGCACCGAACACTAGGGGACAGATGTTGTGTGTGATTTTTCCATTAAGCTTGGAGAAGTCAAGAATTTTGCGAGGTTATAGTTCGACCCAAAATCAGCTCGGCTCAACACCTGTCTGACCCAATATAAGCTCGTCGAGATATAGCTTGACCTAGCAAAAGCTAGTCGTTACCAATCTTGACAGTTGTTCAAGCAAATCACAGATAAGCTCAGATATTAGATATTCCAGAAGAGATCAGATGAAAAACAATAATGGTGCGATCTTAGCGCTCAATCACGAGAATATCGGAGTTGCATTTCAATCTTAATCGTAATTCCTTTAATTTCGCTCTTTCCTTTGTGAAAAACTTGTATATAAATTCATTCCAGCAATGGAAAAGGGGTTAACAAATTGTTCTAGGCATTATACTATTTTCTTGTAAACTCTCTAAGCAAATAAGAAGAACAGTGGACATAGACTCAAGATTCAAATTTGTCGAACCACTTTAAAAACCTTTCGTGTTCTTTACATTGTTGTATTCATATTGCATTGCTTGTTATCTTTAATCACGCATACATCAATTTCGGTTTTACCAAAGTCAATCAGATCACTCTAATTGATGCAATTCTTTCATTAACAGTATGCATAAAAAATTGATAAGATCATAAAAAAAAAAAAAAAAATTAATACTCTGACATTCTGTAACCAAGAAACAAAACTTTGACAATTCTTTCAAGTAAATTTATTTTTCCTCCATTTTCCGAAGAACCAAACAGAAAAATAATAATCCAAAACACACAACTATTTTCTACGAATTAACTAAAACAGAAATAAAGAAGAGAGAGAATAATTACGTACAAGAGTGCAAGTGTTTGGGTCTTAGACGTAAAGGAATTGAATAATAATATACAAATGAATTTAATATACGTTTAATAAATATAAATAAATGAATAGTATTTACATATACAACCCAATCTCACAACTCGCGACGTGGTAGCTCGTGATTGGCCAATTTGTAAATAGGTCTCGCCAATTTTCTATGGGTCTCGTTATATATTTACGAACTGATTAATTATAAACTATCATATCGAAAGCTATGAGATTGAATTGTGAACGTAGGATTAATATATATAATATAGATCATGTCTATATTAAATGATGCGTAATAAGTAACACAACAATTGAAAACATCAGGGTGAGTTAAGGCATAACGACACCGTTTGAATCTCCGCCGAGCGAACCATAATCCTTCTTGCTTCCGGCTGCTTTAGCATAGGTGAAAGTTCTGATTATTATTTTCTAGAAAAATGGGAAGTCTATCTATCTTGCCTCTCTCTTTCTCTTGTGCGCTGAGACCACGGAAACCCCATCTCTCAAACTCCATTTCATGGCCTCGTGCTTCTTCACATTTCCTCAAAATGGCAAAAATTGGCACCAAAATTGTCGTTTTTGGAGCAAAGTCAAGTGACCCAAAAGAGTCCATGTTCATGGATGAAAAGGGTGTTATTGATGACATGGATGGCTATCTCAATTACCTCTCTCTCGAGTATGATTCTGTTTGGGACACCAAGCCTTCCTGGTCAGCATCTTTCTCACTATCACTTTCACTAATCCTTATCATTCTTTGATGTCAAGTTTGAGTTTTTAGAGGTATTTGGAGTTTCAAATATTGGCCTTTACTTGTTTGTGAATTATAGCTTGGTGGGTTTTGATTGAAGTTATTTTCTTGTTTATACAATTATACTTAACTGCAATTTATGTTTTAAGTGGCATCCTTGTAATGAACTAGAATTCCATCCATAAATGAACTTCTTAGCTTCATAATCAGTGCTATGTATCACTTCAGAGAACAATAAGGGCATCCAATGAATATTCAGTATTTTTATTTTGTAGTTTTGGCGTAGGATTTAAATGTGAATTTTGAATCTTAAAAGGAGCTATTTTTTAAAGTGGTATGCAATGAATACCCCGTTATGGAAACCGAAACTTGCATATGTGACTTAACAAAAAGAAGACAGAAGATTTACGCAGTTCACCTAATTGGGGTACGTCTTCTATGATAATTATTTCATTATGCTCTCTTTCTATGGAGCTTTCCTCTGAGTTTAATCTCACAAAGTGTGTTTGATGTAACCCAGATTTCACTCTCTTATACACTTATATTTCTCTAAGGTTTAGGCTCCTATTTATAGTGGTCAATGGCATAAAAGCTTTTCTTTGTTGAGTACAACTTCTTGTAGGAAGAAATATACTTAAAACTCGAAGGATATTTTCATTAGAGATATCCAGCTTGCAACGATAAATTCTTGCTTGCTACAGGGAACTCAACCTTTGCTACAGCAATTGTCTGGCTTTTTCCGGCAATCTTGTTTTGCGTATACATGCTTGCTTCTTGCCGTAGCGAATCACTTACTGTTCATGATGTCAATATCGAGCCATTGTTACCACAAGTATTGTGGCAATTCAATGAAGTCATTCAACAGAGTTTGCACTGCCAATTTTGATACTGATTTTAATTTTCTTCAAATTCCGAACCATGATGATAGATTCATGCGTAAAAACGGCATGTGCCTACATTTCACATAAGTGCTAACCATTTGAGGAATCTAGTTAAGGAAGATGGAATAGAGTAAAGCATAAAATGGTAATGCCATTTTAAGCTAGTCCATGAAGTTATAAGAACATGCTTACCTGGAGGTTAGAACCAAGATCAGTTAAAGGATTCATTCACACCATGAGATCTTATACAAGTTTAAATGATCAATTTTGTTTTCACGGGACAATCAGATGAATCCCAAACTGATTCGATGCGAAGTCTCATCAGTATAGAGATATAGCGACAGAAGATAGAACACAAAATAGATGACTACTACCATCTACTTAGCACATGTCCATGGCAAGATATATTAGTAAGCCCAAATCGGTTCTGAAGATTTGTCCTGTGCTGTCATGCTACATCAGTGAATATATCAATAAAACTTTACCACCATTTTTCTAGAAAAATTGTGTTATGTTTCATTTGTTTGCAGAGGAATCTTACATCTATTGAGAAAAGATTAATTGTTTTAGATCTGGAGTATTTATTCCAGTATTTCATATTTTAATAGTTAACGAGATTAGTTCTGTAGTGGCCGATATACACTGGTGGTGACTAGTGACCATTAAACTAGGCAAATTGTTTTGTGAGGTATGTTTTAAGCAAAAGAACTGCGTTACCATTGGGAGATTAACATATATATGGGATTTGTGGTCTAAAAACTGGAGACAGATAGTTCCATTCAAGTATAAATCAAATTGCTCATTCATTCCACTCAAATTCCAGTAAAGATTATAGTTAAACCCTATTTTTTTTAACAATATACTCCCTTAAAAAATTACTATTTTTTATGTAATTTGATTTTCTTTTCTCATCTTTTTGTCACTAGGTGTCAACCATGGACGATAACATTGACTGGAGTATCAGCAATTGCTTGTAGCTGGCTAATTTTGCATTCACTCTTATTTACAACGATCATACTGTTATTAGTTTGCACTTGGTGGTACATATTTCTGTATTCTTATCCCAAGGTATGAGCTTCACCTGGTTGTCCTTTTTCCCTTTTTCTTGTACTTACTCAAGTCCCTTCTAATCGGTTCTTATAACTTACCCTGCCTAGTGTAGTTTCTGTGTTTTATATGGTTTGTTCTTGCATCTAAAATTTTCAAGACAGAAGGGTATACGGGGGCCTATTTTATCTTCCTGATGCAAGAGTTGTTGATAAACTTATTATTGAATTCTGCTTGTAATAATTGCCCCCTTCTTTCCAGTTAACTCACTCAGAAGCATGCATGTTTTAATTTTAGTGATAATTCATCTTCGATAAGGAAGTGAAAGTATTGACCTGTGAAGGGACGGTCTCTTTATAAAATCTCTCTTTCAAAGCAATAATGATTGACATGTAGTGCTTCATATCTTAGCAATGTGTTTGATGGCTGCGGAAGAATTATGAGTTCGAGTTTCCTTAATATCATTGCAGACAAAGCATTTGAAAGAAAAAATTTAGGGACAAATTAACTTTAAATATGATAATTTAATTTTTTCAACTTGATTTTGACATATATGAAGTTATTAAAAGATGGTGTACATCCATTTTTCTTTGAAGAAATGGAGACCTAAGTCTGTAGAAAGCCTATAGGTCATTAAATGTTGAATTCACTTGCTTTTAAGGGACGCCTACATGCATTAACTTAGTGTATTATTGGAATTTCTAGCTCAATATAGACTCATGTTCTCTGATATTTGAAAACCATTTGGGTTTGGAGCATGAGATATGATCACTATATATTTCAAAGTAGAAGAAACACAACTGAATCTTAAGTTTTATGTTTGTTTGTCAGGCATATGTAGATATGATAGCCGAGCGAAGAAAGAGGGTGATGAATGGTGTTGAAGACACATTTGGTGCAGAGAAAAGCCAATAACTACCAAGGAGCTTCTGTAAATCTCTTTTAATTAGATGCTCAGTGACACTCACAATTAATTTTGAAAAGCAGTTTTCATTACCATCTTTGTTTTTAAAACTAAAACTTATTAATAGGAATCAATGTTGTGCAGATTTTGGGGTCATTGGCATGATTGTATATGCTAAGAGGATTTAAGATAATATATTCAGGAACACCCACAGCCACAGGTTGATATAAAAAGGGGAAAGTAGAGAACAGTTCGAGCTTCGCAACTGTTACTCAATGATGCATGTATGTATGTATAAAAATTGAAAATATTAAATATCTATTGGGAGATTATCATAACTATTTAGTTTTAATGCATGAATATATTTTTATTAATTATTTATTGAAAATCCTTTTACCGTATTTATTATTTTTTTAAATTCTTTAAATAAAATTAAATCCTTTAAAACATTATCGTAATTTTCTTAATTACATTTTCAAAAGAAATTATTCAACACATTACACATCAAATACTAAAAACGCTAAACTCAAGTTTCTTTTATTTACTGAATTTTTTTGTTTCTTTTACTTTTACACAAATTCAAAGGATTTCACTGCCCTTAGGTTACTTTATGCCCCATGAAGTCTTGTGACATTGGTTGACCCAACCCGCCATCAGAAATGGTAAAACTTATTTACTTTCGGCATTCAGCTCATAGAGGTGAGGTATTTCGAGTACCCTGTATTTTTCAGAGAAACCAAAACTAGAATTGCACAATACAGGTTCCTAAAAAAAGGAACCAAAATCGGAACCGTACAATGTAAGTTCTTAAATTCAAGGAACCATAACCTAAAATGCAAGTTTCGATTCCTTTCCGGGTACCCTGTAAAAAATCAATTACCCTCTATTAGTTTAAAAAATGACAAAAATAACTTAAAAGTTTATAAATACACCCTTAACAAATTTTGATTACTCATTTATTTGTATCCAATGTGACTCATAAATCCTCTAATCTCTAGACAACACTTGAATTCAATCAATTCATCACAATTCACATAAAATTCCTCCATCAAAACCGAAACACAAACAATTAATTAAACAATCATATTATAAATCTATAATTTAATATTATAATTAATTAAATTTCTAATCATTTAATTAAGTATTGTACTAATGTTTATAATATAATATTATAATTAATTAAGTAATCATACTATAAATCTATAATCTAATTTTATAATTAATTAAATTTTTAATTATTTAATTAAGTAATGTACTAATGTAGTGAATTACTAATGTTATAAATTTATAATTAATTAACTAATCATTTAACTATGTAATGTTATACTTAATTAAATGATTATAATATAATGTAATGTTATAATTAATTAAATAATTATTTAATTATAATGTAATGTTTTAATTAATTAAATTTCTAATCATTTAATTAACTATTGTACTAGTGCTTATAATAGAATGTTATAATTAATTAAGTAATCATACTATAAATTTATAATGTAATGTTATAAGTAATTAAATTTCTAATCATTTAATTAAACAATCATCTGTTTATAATATAATATTATAATTAGTTAAGTAATTAATAATCATACTATATATCTATAATGTAATGTTATAATTAATTAAATTTCTAATTATTTAATTAAGTAATGTACTAAATTATTAATGTAATGTTCTAAACTTATAATTAATTAAGTAATCATTTAACTATATTATAATTTTATAATTGATTAAATAATCATTTAACTATATTATAATTTTATAATTGATTAAGTAATCATTTAACTAACAATGTATTAATATTTATCAATTTATCATATATAATTCATTAATTACTAATTTACTACAGATATAATTAGAACTTAATAATTGAAGTAAATAACTAAATATTATATTATTCAATCAAATATATTATTTTATTAAAAAATAATTCTTTTAATAACATTAAAATACTTTTAAATGGTCATAATTCTAACTATATACTTAATTAATCAAAAACTTTAATATTAATATATTATAATATATTAAAGTTTTTTATATAATGTAGTTGATATGTAACAATATTTATTTAATTAGGTTATTGTAAAAATTTAACTTTTTTCCATTTTAAATTTGTTTATATGTAAAATTACAATAGACCGCTATTCTTCACATATATTTTTTATTTCAACCCAAGTTCTAAAACAGGTTCCACAACAGGTATCCGCTATAAGTTTCAAGTAGGTTCCAAGCCGAGTACCCACTACAAGTTCTTTTTTCCAGATTTCGGTTTCGGTTCCGATTCCTCTACATGTCGGAACCGAAATCAAAACCGGAACCGTACAATGTCGGTTCCAAAAAAATAGAATCGAAACCGCACAATGTCAGTTCCAAAAAAAATGGAACCAGAACCTACCCGCACAATGTCGATTCCGAGTAGGTTCTGGTTCTGGTTCTAGTTCTCCTTCCGATTCTAATTCTACCCGCAGGTTCCAGTTCTATCCGCTACCCGTGCTCACCCCTATCAGCTCATGTGACCAAAATAATTTGTGAGCCAATGGAAGGTCATCAGCGCGTCCAAGCAAACACACTGGTAATTACAATTACGATAGATGATTAAAATTAATTCATTGTTGATCTCAGCTACAAATTACACTAGAGAATCAACATCTCAAAAGTAAAGGAAGCAAAACGAGAAACCAAAGGGGTTACCCAAAAAAAAAAAAAAATTCCCCAAAGGCTTTTACAAGTTGAGCGAAGAGTTCCCTACTTAATTGACCAACCTGGCAAAAAATTGCCGCAAGTGTGGCTTTTGAATCCGAAAACGGTTGGTATAAACTTTAATGGACAGTTAAGATACCCATTTATAACAAAGTCGATTTCACAACCACTCTTCGGTCCAGCTTCATTCTACAAAAAGCCTCCGTCCTGATATTAGATCATCAGAACACACTTTTAGGTAATACAGAAAGTGTTAGTATCATGTTATCATACCACAAACGTCTCCCCACAACAATAGGAAATAAGGAGGCTAATCAGTAATCACTCCTTATTTATTGGAAAAAGCGGTCATGTCCATAAACAACTCGCTCATAGTGGTAATGGTATAATTAGCACCTCTCTACTCTTCTGTTTCTCAGTCAGTCATTAGTAGGACATATCTTTCATTTGTGCTGTGAGAAGATTGTAGAATAAATTTCAATGAATACTGGAATTTTGTACGACTGAAACATCAAAATTTAATACCACAACACTGAACAAATATCAGAACCTGACTGTTTTCTGATTTCCTAACAATGAGAGAAAGAGGAAGAAAGAATACCTAATTTATTGGTGGCCCAATTTTTGATACTGGGCATTGCTCTGGTGGTTCACCTAAAGAGCCAGAAAATCCACTTCGTCTGAGCTTTCCTCGAAAAATATATAACCAGAATCTTGACCCTCTTCATTGCCACTACCCTGATCACTATTATAGCTGCTTTCTGACGAACTCATAAGTAGTGAACCATCTGAGGTATGACTACTAAGTTGGGATGGCAGGCTGACCTCACTATGGAACTCGCTGTCGACCATATGGTCAATGTCAATGAAGCTGCAAAACCCAGAATCCCAAAAAACAGTGGCAAATGTAATTCCCATAACCAATCTTTCTTCTCCAATCTCCCATGGAGTAAGAGTTAAAAATGGAGTTTTAAGTTTCAACCATAAAACTTGAAGAATAAACGAACCTTCCTTCCGATGGAAACTCAGCTAGCAAACAGAGATCGGGCCTTTCTTTGGAGACCTCCTTTAAAGGAATGATTCTGCACACAGTATGCACCAAAACTTGATATTAAACAATGAAGTTATACAAGCAGGACCAATCCAGGAGGACAAAGATTACCTTGAGTTGAAGCACCTCATATACCAATCACCTTCAGAGGCTAAACCTTCTCTATTGGATACGTCCTACAAGAGGATCAAAACAGAAGTAAGAATCCAAGAAACTATGAATGCGATACGTAAACAATTTCTGTCTACCCACAATATGTCGGAGGAATTTGAAATCTCCTGAAAGAACTGCTGTCAAAAACCGAGCAACTTCCATCTGCATATCACAATTCAGAGTTTAGAAAGGGTAAAAAAAGGGGCATACAGGGGAAGGGCTTGTCTTGTTTGTTGAGGAAGAGAGATTGAAAAACTTGTTTGTTGAGGAAGAGAGATTGAAAAACTTACTTCTTTAAGGTGCATGCAATCTCGTAAAATCAACACTTCTAGCAGATTCCCCCCAATTCCACTTCCAAGATTTCTAGGTTAACCAAAATTTGAATAAGAGGAGGTGAAAGTGAGTATGTTTTCATGCGAAGGAGACAAAAGGAGTCTTAGCAGACATAGTCTATATGAGATACACAGACCTCAAAAAGGTTCCAGTGATCGAGTATGATGTTGAAAAATCAACATATTTTAGCTTACGAAGTCCCTGAAAGAGTAACCAGAAAGATTGTCATTTCTAACTTGAGAAAATGAAGTTCACAACCCCCTTCCCCCCCCAAAAAAAAAAGGTAAGTTCGTATAATTCTCTACCCTTACAACCAGCTTTATATGCACATCATTCTGCCAACCAAATTACCCCCAGATCCAGTTGTATGAATGAAACTAAATATAAGTAGCTATACTGTAACTGTTGAGCATAATGCCTAAATGTGTTTCAGCTAATTAATTTGTCAAAGCAAATACTTCATTTCTCAAACCTTTACCATCACTTTTGTTTGAATCAGGATAGTTGCCTACTTACAGCCAGTCAGAGACTAATGTTGAATGAAATACAATCAGATAAAATCAACATCCTTCTCAACATAAAAAATTAAGATCGTACATAAGAATTAGGAAAGTTGACAACCTGAATAGTAAAGTTAATATTTGACCTATTGATGCCAAAACAAATATGCCTAAAATAGATAGAAAGCAGACATCTGTGTTTTTGTGGGTGAATCAATAGTGTATCACATGCTAATTCAATCTACAACAATATGAAGTTCAGATCACAAATCTATCATATGCATTGGGGACTTAACATTGTTAGTTAACATGAAGAGAGGTCTTGTCTTACAATCAAATATTAAAAAGAAGACTGAAGATAGAGCAAATTAACTAATGTGGATATTCAAGGCAATGAAATATATAATTTTGTTCACTATCAAACAACTGCAAAGCTGTTAATGGATCTCCAGCTTTAGAGGGGTAGAATGGAACATGCCATATAAACCATGGCCTGCATATTGTAAATTCCATTTGTGGGGATTCCGAATCTCCCATAGAATTGTATTAACAGAGCTTAATAAAATAGAAATGCTCATCTTCAGAAGAAAGAAATAGGAAAAATTACTCCATCCGTATTCACTCATTTCTGTAGCATGTGGCATATGTCACAGACAATATCCAACCTTATAAACTTTATATAAAAGCAGATATGAAGTTTCTTGAGAAGACTGCATTTATGTTTTACCTTGAGTGGCATAATAACATTTAGCAAATTTAAAAGGGGTTGACAAAATCTTGATGTTACTAATAAGATAATAACACTTCATTTGCACAGGAAAATACCTTGACAAGTATGCGAACTTTATAGTCAGGCAGCTTAAAACCTCTAAGCGCCAAAGAAGTTAGATGTGGACAATTGTTCACGAAGTCAACACAGGTAGGCGATTTCAAACTGTCATCTCTTCCTAATATTGAAGAAATGCATTGTAAGTAGAAACTTTTGGACCATTAAGTCAGGAAATCCTCATGAAGAACACACTGCACCTGTTTTTGAAGACTCAAAGAACAAACGCTCTATCAAGGGGCAACTCACGCTCACTGACATCAACGTTTGCCTCAATTCAACATGACTGATAAAAAATTAGAAAAATAAATTATGTTACCAAAAGAAAAGAAAAGAGGGGGAAGGGAATTAAATTTTGTAGATACAAAGACTATTAAGGTAACAAATTTAGACATACAAAGTCCAGGAAACAGGAAAAATATTGATTCATTTAAATGGCACCATAAAGTTCACAAAATATCATCTTCTAATGAAACTCTTAAGGAATTCAGTAGACAGATTTGTTCAAAAAGAGGAAAACAAAAGCATCAACAAGTTGTCAAAATGAGAATTAAACAAATTTTCCTCAGATAAATCACAATAAAGCATATGTTTTCAATATCCATCACACTTACAAATATCTCATATTTACACACATATGGGAACAACATATACATATATGCATGCCATGGGCTATAATTACAATAGCTTCTAGAAAAAAAAATTTATCATCTTCTGGTCTCAAACATAAGAAAATGTGAAGCAGAGATCAGCTCAGAGCAACTTACAGGCCAACAATTTCCAGATCAAGAAGTGATGGGCAGGCTGATAATGCCATACAAAGTGATGTTTTATCCATTCTTTCAATGTTGTAAAGGTGCAACCTTCTCAAAAGTGACCTTACAATATAAAAAAGCAAATATTAAGAAAACAAAGTCACTGATAAATGACGATTTATGTACAAATCACCATACTCAGACATACCCAGGAGCACCACTTTCCCCACTTAATGGGTTTAGACAAGTCCTTGTGAGAATGAATGACTCTTTCCCCTGTCGGGTCTTTTTATCATTCCAAGAGAAACTTGATACATCTACAGAGTTCCTGATGGTGTAAACCAGTGACTGACAAGACCAAGGCGAGGCAGTTGGGCCTGGAACTATACCAAGCTGAAGAGACCTGTACAACCATTTAAGAGATTGAGGACTGGAAATCACAGAGAAGAAAAAACTGTATCCCAATCTATAGCAAAACGAAGACCTACATAAAGAGAAAACCAGCTACCTGTACAACTAAATACTTATTCGCGAATACAAAACTCAGATGGACAACAGAATTGTTGAGTTTTTCAGAGCTAGCTTTACATGAATAAAATGGAATAAGTGATGTATAGATGATCTTTATGCAAGAAAATTGTCTCTATCATCACTATCATTTCCAAATCCTTGTGAACATAAGTTAAGTGACACAAGAATAAAATGTCTGGCTTTCTCTTCTTTCTTCTTTGCCCTCCTCTCATTTACGAAAGGAAAAGGTGACTGGTGGCAGAATTAAGTAATCTAATAACATTAGTTGCAATCTCGCAAGTAACCAAGTTCAACAGTCAAGGGATAAAAATTTAACAAAAAACTCCTCTGTACTTCGTTACTGTAAAGCAAAAACCATCCTTTGTCGCTCTCCGTTCTATCCTATCAGCTAAACAGATCAAATTAACAATGATTCTCTTTTCCTCCTCCAACATAGTTTATGCTTATTTAAAGTGAAAGCTAGTGGAGAGACAAATCAAGAAACTAGCCACTATCAAGTAATAAATAAGGTTAGCAGCTAGACTTATATTACTAATAACTTCATCACCTTAAATGTAGCAAGAAGATCCAATAAAGCCAGCAAACACAGAATTAAGAGATCAGTATTGAAAATAACTGGAATTTAACAAAGCCTAAAATAAAATTTTCTCCAACACAAATTTAAAAAAAAAAAAAAAATAATAATAATAATAAGGAAGTAGAAGAACAAATCTCTTACTGGAGAGATCTTCCGGCTCGTTGGATCATTGTAGACACAACAGCATTGTTGACCCTAGGAACAATTGTCCTCAAGTCAATATTAGCATAGCACAGAGGATCCATAGCACACTTGTAGAACATCGAACACGTGGCCGCAGCATAGCACAAGCTCTGAGTATCAAGCATAGAAAACACCTGCACCAAAAAAAAAAAAGAAATTTTAAATCTCTCCAACTCAATTTAAACAATTCACGCTTCATTTACTAAATTAATTAAAAAAAAAAGATTAGTTGCTTACTTTGATGGTGAGATCAGGAGGTAGGGCCCAGGCAAGTGAATTATGCTTGGAGGCGCGTTTCCGAGCCGACCGATTACCGGCTTCGAGAAGCAAGGAGCCTAATTTGAGAGCGCGATCGATGAGAAGCGACTGATCGGCGTCGCAAGGCGTGGAGTCGATGAGTCTATCGAAGGACAAGCCGATGGAGAGAGAAGGAGAGTCGGCCATATCGAGAAACGTTTCTAGAAGATCGTCCATTGAAGGATTCTGTTTGGTGCTGGCGTTGGCGTTAGGGATTTGAGATGGGGCAGACGAAGGGCAAAGGCGCTTGGCCATTGATGGTGATGGTGATGGTGATGGTGATGATGATGATGATGGTGATGGAGGTGAGGTGTGGTGGTGGAGGAGGGTATCCATAGTGGGTGGACGTGCGCGATTGGGTGGGGGAGTTTTTTGTGAGAGAGTGAAGGGAGTGAGGACAGAGTACGGACGATCATTTTCCTGACACGTGTCTGATTACGTGGTCCCGTTTGGGTTCGTCAAACACCACTGGGTGTTGCCGGCTTTCGTATTACTTAAGGTAAGGTTATTGCAGCCTTCTGCTTTTTAAGAAAAAATTTAAATTTATTTTTAAAAAGAACTTTCTTGGCTTGCGTCAAGAATCTATCACCATTTAAAAGTAATGAACAGTGAGACTATCATTTTAAATAATTTAAATTATGAAATTCTTTCTTTAATATTCTGAAAATTGCAATATTATTATCACATAACCTAATTTAATTTATTAATTTCTTTTTCAATTTACATTAATTGATACACGTAATATTATTACAAAATTGTTAATAAATCTCTAACGTAATTGATTACTTAAAAAATGAGACTATTTTGATGTAGTTAGAGCCCATAATAAATCATAGGTTATGATATTTATGTAGTGATCCTCAGGTTTAATTGTGTTACCAATGCTTCATAAATATGCAAAAAGTGAAGGGTCCATCTTTTAATTTTTTGAATAATATCTCTATCCCTGTCCCCTTTCTATCAATACATTAATGTAGATTTCTTGAATAATTTCTTTTTTCCCAATTGAATTTATTTTAATTTCCTAAATAATTTTTTGAGAGGGTATTCGTTCAGTTTCTGCAATCTGGTATTTCGTTAGTATTCGTTCAATTTCTGCAATCTGGTATTTCATTTTCCTTTCTTTTGCATACTGATTTTCTTTGTTTTTTTATTATGACTACTGAAAGAGACGATTCGCTTCAGTCTGTGAGTGTGAGGTTAGATGACAAGAATTATTCGTATTAAAGTTATGTGATGAGAAATTTTCTTAAGGGTAAAAAGATGTGGGGATATGTTAGTGGAACTTCTGTGAAACCTAGGAATACTGATGAGGGTTATGTTGCTTTGATAGATGCCTGGGAAGCAAACAATGCAAAAATTATTACTTGGATTAACAATTCTGTTGAACATTCCATAGGTACACAGTTGGTGAAGTATGAGACAACAAAGGAGGTTTGGGATCATCTGCAAAAGTTATTTACTCAATCAAATTTTACAAAGCAGTATCAATTGGAGAATGACATACGAGCTCTTAAGCAAAAGAATATGAGTGTTCATGAGTTTTATTCTGCTATGACAGATCTTTGGGATCAATTGGCTCTCACAGAATCTGAAGAATTAAAGGCATGTGGTGCCTATATTGCTTGTAGAGAGCAGCAACGGTTGGTACAGTTTTTAACGGCACTTCGCAGTGATTTTGAAGGACTTAGAGGTTCAATTTTGCATCGTTTTCCACTTCCTTCTGTTGACTCAGTTGTTCTGTGTTAGCAGTACCATCTAAGCCACTCTTTAATAATCAGAATAAGCCTCACACAAGGGTTGCCTTCGACGAGTGTAGTTTCTATAAGCAAAAAGGTCATTGGAAGGCTCAATGGCCTAAGTTGAGACAGCAGAATCAATCGCAGCAGCAATCTCAAGCTTGGAAGCTTGGCAACCAGTCACAATCTAATGCTCATAGACCACCTCAGGGTTACAAACCACCATAGTCTAATACTGCAGTAGTTGTTTCATCAGGTCCTTTCACCAATCCTAGTATTCTGGCTGAGCAATTTCAGAAGTTTCTCTCTTTACAGCCACAAGCTATGTTTGCTTCTTCTTCCGTAGGTCAGTTCCCTCATAGTTCTTCAGGTATGTCACATTCTGTATGGGTCTTGGATTCTGGTGCTTCACATCATATGTCTCCAGATTCTTCATCTTTTGCTTATGTGTCTCCTTCGTTTTCTATTCCTGTCATGATTGCTGATGGCACTCCTATGCCTTTAGCAGGTGTTGGTTCTGTTGTCACACCTCACTTGTCTCTCTCTAATGTTTATCATATTTCAAAACTTACATTAAATCTTGCTTCTATTGGTTAGTTATGTGATTCTGGTAATTTAGTCACATTTTCCTCTTCTTCTTGTTATGTGCAGGATCTGCAGTCTCGGAAGCTGATTGGGACAGGCCGTAGGAAGGGGAGACTATATATTTTGGATGAGTTAAAAGTGCTAGTTGCTGCTGCTACTAGTGTTGATGCTGCTGCTACTAGTGTTGATTTGTCTTCTTTTCGTTTGAGTCCTTCTTCTTCTAATTTTTATTTATGGCATTCTCGTTTAGGTCACGTTTTGTTTTCTCGTTTGAGATTTTTGGCCTCCACAAGGGCTTTAGGAAATTTGCAAACTTGTGATATTTCTAATTGTAATGGATGTAAACTGGCAAAATTTTCAGCTTTACCTTTTAATCGAAGTATTTTTGTTTCTTCTTCTCCATTTGATTTGATTCATTTTGATGTATGGGACCTTCTCCTGTTGCCACAAAAGGAGGGTCTCGATATTATGTTTCTTTTATTGATGTTCATACTCGTTATTGTTGGGTTTATTTAATGAAACATCGTTCTGAATTCTTTGAGATATATACAGCCTTTCGAGCTCTTGTTAAAACTCAATATTCTGCAGTTATCAAATGTTTTAGGTGTGATTTGGGTGGGGAATACACTTCTAATAAATTTTGTGAGTTGCTTGCATTAGATGGAACTGTTCACTAAACCTCATGTACAGATACTCCTGAGCAAAATGGTGTTACTGAAAGAAAACATAGGCACATTGTTGAAATTGCTCGTTCTCTCTTGTTGTCTGCTTCTATTCCTAGTGTGTTTTGGGGTGAAGCTGTTCTTACTGTTGTAGGTTTGATTAATACAATTCAATCTTCTCATATTTCAGGTTTTTCTCATTTCGAAAAGTTGTATGGGTATGCCCCTGATTATTCTTTCTTTAGAGTTTTTGGTTGTACTTGTTTCGTTCTTCGTCCTCATGTAGAACGCAGCAAGTTGTCCTCTCGATCTGCTATTTGTGTCTTACTTGGTTATGGTGAAGTTAAAAAGGGGTATCGTTGTTTTTATCCAATAACTTAGAAACTTTATGTGTCTCGTCATGTTGTTTTTCTTGAGCATATATCTTTCTTTTTTATTCCATCCATTACTCATAACTTGACTAGATCTGATCTTATTCGTATATTTCTGAGGATTCTGATAGTTTCTCATCTCAGGTTCCTAGTACTTCAAATACCCCTTCTCATGTTCTTACCCCGTTACCTTTACATTATACTCGACCAATTCGTACTGATCATTCTGCAAGTACTGACACTTTACTCTCCGGCACACCTAAAGCTCCCTCTTCTTCTATAGTCCCTCAAGCTCCGTCTGAGATTGTGGATCCACCTCTACATCAATCCATACGCATTCGTAAGTCCACAAAATTACCAGATTTTGCTTATTCTTGTTATTCTTCATCTTTTGCTTCATTTTTAGCCTCTATTCATTGTCTCTCTGAGCCTTCATCCTATAAAGAGGCAATTCTTGATCCTCTTTGGTAGCAAGCTATGGATGAGGAGATTGAAACTATAAAAACTAAAACCTGGAGAGAGAGAAAATGGGTACTCGCGAGTCCACCCGTACCTGCATAGGGCAGGGTACGGGTCCAATATTTTGGATCTGTATATTTTGACCCGTATTAGGCCCGTACCCATGATGACCCGACCTACCCACCCGTTTTGCCAAGTCTAATAATGACGCACTACCAGCTGAATCTGGCCGGTAGTACACCGATCTAGCCTTTTCCGATCAAATCCACAGTAGATCTGGCCGGAAAAGGCCAGATCTACGGCCAAAGATCTGACCGTCAATGACCAGATCTTTGGCCGTAGCCAGTTGTCAACGATAGCCAAGATATGGTCATCGTTGACCATCAACGGCGGCCGTATCTTTGGCCGTCATTGACCACCAAATGCGGCCAGATCTAGCCATAGATCTGGTATTTTCCTGCCAGATCCACGGTGGATCTGGCTGAAAAGGCCATATCGACGCACGACTGGCAAGATCCAGCTGGTCATGAGCCGATATGACGACTCTGACCACCTTCCAATGGTGGTGGCCGACTGTCCGTATTTAATGGGCGGGTTAGGGGTATTTTTGTTAACTTTTAATATTTTATTATACGGGTGTTTAATAAATAAACAAAATTAGAAGATATTTTTGTTAATTTCCAAACCCTACATCGTAATACCCACCCAATTTAACTTTTTTCAAAATATTAAAAAAAATATATCAGAATAATGAACCAAACGGACCATAATTATAAAATCTTAAAAAATAGATAGAGAATCTTAAACTAAGATTACATCATCACAATCTCAATAAGCTTCCTCACAATATCTTACAAGTCATAAACTTGTTTTCCAGTAAACTTAACCTCAATGGGGCTGACATTCTTCCCAATTGATCTGTAATTTTGCCCCACCCCTTGACGTCCAGGGTTCACCTTCTCCGGATAAACTCCATCTTTGGGGTGAAGATATTGCACCTCACCATTAGGGAACACCCTGTAAAACTGATACTTGATCTTGTACTTTGATCTTAATCTCGTCCCGAGAGCCAAGCATTGTTCTTTCCTCGCCAACTTCAACAAGTTCGGTCCTTGTCTCATTATCGCCGCTCCTCCGGTGGGCATCTCAAAGATTTGTTCTTTGGGTGATTCCCATGTGATAACATAGAATTCTTCAACTTGGGCCTTTCTCAACAACCCTCCTGTGCTTCCTCCGAAGATCGGTGATGGGGTGTTGGGGTCTAGTTCCGGTGGGGTGAAGCCCACCGGAGCTTCCTTTGCGGGTGCTGCTGTTGCTGGGGCTTCTTCTGCAGCCGCGGCTCTGATTGTCCTCTGAGATGTGGACAGAGTGAGAGGTCTGGGAGTGGTGAATGAAAATGATGAGGCTGGTTTCCATGGGATCAGTGGAAGCTTGCTGTTTTTTGGGGTGGTGATTGTTGGGGTGAAGAGGCCTGCTTGAGTTGCCATGATGAAAAATGTAATTTTTTATTTTGAGTTGCGAAGATGGTGTTTAGGAAAATGGTAGTTGGAAATTGGGATTATAGAGAAAAGTTGGGAATTTAGATGGGTGGTGGCGTTTGGGTTTTGGATATTTGGATAAGGTGATATTGCTTGGACCAATAGGGTGCTTCATTTTGATTCATGGTCTTACCCACGCTAGTTTCTGACCCCACCTTTTTGTTTTGTTAAAATTAAAGAATAAAAAAAACTAAAAAAGCCTTTTCTTTTTGANTATAGAGAAAAGTTGGGAATTTAGATGGGTGGTGGCGTTTGGGTTTTGGATATTTGGATAAGGTGATATTGCTTGGACCAATAGGGTGCTTCATTTTGATTCATGGTCTTACCCACGCTAGTTTCTGACCCCACCTTTTTGTTTTGTTAAAATTAAAGAATAAAAAAAACTAAAACAGCCTTTTCTTTTTGAATTCTTTCTTTCCCATCAATTTTATAAAAGATTCAACTCCAAGGGAGCATCTGATTTGAAAGAAGATGGCTTTCAGATTTGTACCCTAAATTATACAACAATTGATCTAGTACTGCCAATAAAAAATCAATAGCTTATTAAAGAGATTAATTCTTCTTTAGTTCTCCAACAACCAAAAAGTGCCAAACTCTAAATGCTCACAGCTATCACATTATTGCTACAAATATTTGCAGTAAGTTCACAGCGAATTTATCAAATCTAGCATGTGATGCCATTCATTTGATACAAAGTCATTTTTCCCCTGGCACAGAATCATACAATAATAACACATGGTTGAAACGATATGGAGTTATCATTCAGGCAAAACATGAGTGAGTAGATTGAATTCCGAAGAAATATAAAGATTATTACATGATTAACGCCTAGTCCTTTGGTGCAGGCATTAGTCGTAACCTTTCCTCCGAGGGTTGTTGAACTCCCTCTTCTGCTAGCAGAGACTGTAAGTCACTGCCATTCGCCAGGCTGTTGAACTCAACTGCTTTTGAAGGCATCGCTGGGTAGCGTCGTTGACAAAAGGTCATCAATCTCTTAACTGATTGAAGATACTTGCGAGTTGTCTCATCGTTCATAATATGAGCCACACTATTGGTGTAAATTTTCTCACGGGCTGAACGTTCATGGATACCAACCATAGTGACACCAATTGGCCAGGGTGCATTTCCAATAGCGAGCTTGATATAATGGTCCATTGCAGCTAGGTAGTCTCGCTTCAAGCAGCAATTAACCACAATCATTAATGCTTGACGGATGTCATCGGGAAGAACCTGAAAATAACATACAATGAACCATGCTTTATATAGATCCAAAATTATGTATATTATAATCAGTAAGATCAGAAAGAAAAAGGAAAAAGGAGGGAGTGCAAAAGTAATAACAACGTATCAAAGCAGAAATTCTTAAGGAAATTGTCGGTTCCTTATGAAGAAAAGCACTCAATTCAAATATCTAGCAACACTAGACGTACGTATATCATTTCTAGAAGGTACATTCACAGATTTAAGCTTCATTCTCACGCTAAGGACTTTCCAGTTTCCAACCACACCGGAGAGCTGAAGTAGAACCACAATTCGCAAAGAATAAAGAGTTCTTAGTTCCTTGTTTTTTCAAATAGATCAAGATCAGCCCATCATATGTATGTAACATTCAAAATACTGATCCCAATCAGTCCAAAGGAACATCAAACCTAATTGTGCCTTAGCTTACATCAAACCTAGCTGTTGGATATTAAAGGTTCCTTAAAAGCAGTACATGTCGTCTATCCTTCTCTTCATCTAGATGACTTCGTAGATGTTCAACCACACAAAAACTAAGGCTCACAGCATATCATTAAACTAACAACCAAGAAAAGAAAGTATGAAAACCAAGTGATAAGGTTACACATAATACCAGTTCATGTCTAAGTGAATACTCAAACAAACAGAAAAACATACTTCATTTCATTACATAGGCCTATATCTATAAAAACTACCATAAATTCAAACAGCAGCTTTCAAACAAACTTATAACAAAGTCAAAAGATAGGAACACAGTCATGTAATAAAACAATCACTAGCAGGTTGTTTCATAAGTGCGGGAAGTAATCGAACAAGGAACTTGCTTTGGCTGGAAATCAAATTAAAGGTGTACTAATGATCAAGTAGTAAGAGAGTGAACTTTTCAACTTTGATGAAGGTTTTCAGCCTTGACTGCTTTTGGCCCCAAAAGTGCACTTAACAAGCAGTTTTTGGGTACGCAAGCTCTCAATGGAAAATATGAAATAAATATATCAATACAAAGGGTTGATTGGAAATCATTTCTGAACACCTAAACACCATGCTTTATCATGCAATTTCTACAATTACATGGATGTCACAATTGAATGTATCCATAATACAAAAACTGAGATCATTAAGAAACAGATAACGAGATAAGCAGAAACTATAAATTCTGATTACAAACATTCAGGTACATTGTATACTGAGGATCATTGGACCTAGGGTATGCAATATGTTATGTTGCAACAGCATTAAAGAATAACACTGTTAATCATTATTATTCAAGATTTACTGATGTGCAACTTCAAGAAATTAATGTCAAGAAATGACCGAGTAAAAATTAGGCATAACTTGTAAACTCCAACCCAATAATTCATTGTATTAACAGGCCTGGAAGACTGGAGATAATTAGGTTGTCAGGATCTTGTTCAGTAAAACTGTGATGTTAGATCCTCATTCAAATTAATGTTTGGTGTTTACTTAAAAAAAGGCTCATAAAGTATGGATCAATTAATAACCGAAGTTAAATATAGCAGGCATATATCATGATCTTATACGAATACAGTTTAAATGGCTTTAAGCAACATACACTAAGGCAACATTTTGTTTGACATTTTCCACATTACTTAACAAGCAAATTCACTTAAGGCTCCTATAAGGTTATACCATTCCCTAACAGATAGTCCACTACTACAACTTAACAACCTCTTAACAACCTAACCCAAATATGATATAAGAATGAATACCCATATGTATAGAAACACCCCAAAAGGTTTTAAATGATACACTTCCTAGATTTGATACCTTGCTTAGTTCACCCAACACCCAGCTATTCTCCAATATATAGATTTACCAATAATAAAAATACCATAAACATTACAACAAAGCTTGTGTAATTAAAAATTTCCATCAATCATACCTTCTTTCTACAAAACTTGAACAAAGGATTCAAGTACCTCGCACATTGCTTAAAAGTAGCCACCATAGACTTCCCTTTAGCTGTCCTTTTCTCAGCTTCAGGCATTTCATCCAACTCCTGATTCCACTCATTCAACAACCTCTTAAAAAACACAAGAATCTTATCCTCCTCACACAGCTCATCAAAATTAGCTTTCATTCTCTTCAAATCTTTATCCATATCAACCCCACTTGAACCACCATCACCACTCAACTCTTCATCTCCACCTCCTCCTTCTCCATCCTCTTTCCCCTCTTCCCTATCTTTTCTCTTCCTCTCGCTTAAAATCCCTGTCTTCTGCCGCTTTCTTAACTCCGCAATATCGCGTAGAAAATCGTTCGTTTGTCCTTCAGTCATGTCACTATCAACCTCAAAAAGTCCCGCTTTTAAAACGTATTTTAACCGCTCGAGCCGTGCGTCATCGTCTTCGCCGAAAAGAGTGATCGGTTGTTTCAGTAACCGGAGCCGCCGAATGACTTCTTGCTTCGGCAAAACTAAGTTATCGATGTTTTGCTCGTTGGTTAGGGATTTGGAAGTGGTGGCGGCGGAGGTGGTCGTACTGGTCGCGGAGGTTGTCGTGGAGGTAGAGAGAGTGTTCGATTTAGTCGCGGCACTGTTAGAGGTGGAGGTGGCGGCGTTTTGGCGGAGGAGTTTGGCTTCTTGTTCACGTTTTTCCTGTTCGCGTAGCTTTTGGATTTGTTTCTGCTCGATTTCGGAGCGCTTGAAGAAACGTTTTCCGCCGGTGTCTTCGGCTAGGGATTTCCGTTTCTTTAGGAGTTCTTGCTGGAGGAGATCCATCTTAGGGTTTAATTTGATTCTGGATTTTCAATTTCAAAACAATCGTTGATTGTTGAAGATCGGGAGAGACTACTCGATGTATGATGAATAAAGACAGGAAGGGTTACACTTGGATCCTTTTTATTATACCGAGCCAAGTCGGGTAAGTTAGTGGTTGGATTTGAGCCTTTTCGGATTACTTGGCCCAAATTGTATAACCCAGCCCAACTCTTACCAGGGTTGATATTTTTTTTCCTACCTTTATTAAAGAAAAAAATATATAAGATATAAATTTATAGTAATTTTTTATAATTTACACCAAATATTATCATTTTAACTATTATTAGGTGATTAGATGATAAAAGAACAAAAATGTCTAACATAGATTCCTGAATTTGAATTCTAATAAACCTTAATAGGAATGATTACTGAAAATATTTAGATTAAAAAAAAAAACTCATTTTGTCGAAAAGACAAAAAGTAAAAGAAAATATTATTGGCGATTTTAGCCCGCTGAAATGGTCATTTGCGCCAAAACCCTCGAGTGAAATTTGCATAAATAGGTATTGAATTTTAAACACAACCGACCCGAACCCGCTTATCCAGCTTCTCTTTTAACTCTACCTTGGGACAATCCCGGCGCCAAAACCCTCGAGCGAAATTTGCATAAACAGGTGTTGAATTTTAAACACAACCGACCCGAGCCCGCTTATCCGGCTTCTCTTTTAACTCCACCTTGGAACAATCCAGGATTCCATTTACGAACTTCACCTACCTTCAAGATGACGACGATTCGCAGATTTTGCTGCAACGATCTTCTCCGATTCACTTCGGTTAATCTTGACCATCTTACTGAAACCGTAAATTCTTTTTTTTTTTTTCTTTTATTCTTTCTGAAACTCGTAATCATCGTGGTGATGATGACACTGATTCTCGTTCTTTCTTGAAATACGCATGATGTTACAGTTCAATATGTCATTCTATATGACCTACTTGGCGAGATGGCCCGACTATTTTCACGTCGCTGAAGGCCCCGGTAACCGAATCATGGGTTACAGTACGCACTTTCCCTCTCACTCTTCCTTCAAACTTTTTGTTTATTTATTATTTTAGGGTTAATTTTGGATTATTACATCTCTAACTTTGTACTTCTGCTTACACGATATTGCCTGTGATTGGGTTGCCATGTAGAATTTATTTATTTTGTATCTTGGGTTTTTAATTTCTTAAATTTATTGTACAATGTTCATCTGTATTGACATTGTTGAAGTGTCACCTGCGTTCAGTATCTATTTGGGATTTCAAAAAATTTAGTGAACATTGGAATATTGTTGCCTTTAGACCAGGGATTAAGGGATAAATTGTGTTTGGTTACTCTGCTAAGAGTCAACCTTTTGCCAATTTTTCTAGCGTGTTTAGAATTCAATTCTGTGGTCAAGCGTTCAAACGAAGGATTGGATGGTTGTTTATGGCTGATGGAGTGTTGGTCGCAGGGCTCATTCTGTTCTATTTGTGTTCGCTGATATGTAATTTGGACTTTTAGAATTTTGTGAGAAGTTGTTTGCATTTTGGTACCTGTTGTAGGCCAAGGGGGTTTTTTTCTTGTTCACCTCGAATAATAGTCTTAACTAAATTTTTGCTAGCTTCAGAACTGATGGTTATACAAGAACGTGTAATGGATAGCATCTGAATTTCCCCTGTTCTTGTTAGTTTTGTTTGTTATGTCTCTTTGCTTTGTATTTTCTGTTTCGGTCGGTTCCTGTGAATTGATGAAAGTTTGCGTAATGCATTAAATATGATTTTAGTTATGGGAAAAGTTGAAGGACAAGGCGAGTCTTGGCATGGTCATGTTACTGCAGTAACTGTTGCTCCAGAATACCGCAGGCAGCAACTGGCTAAGAAACTGATGAATCTGCTGGAAGACGTCAGTGACAAGATGTAAGGATTCTTTACCCTAGATAAAGTCAAACCTGCTTTTCTATGTTAAGTCCACCTATTTTTAAGCTTCACTGGCTCATTTGCTATTTTCAGTGACCATTTAAAACCTATTCATATATTGTGATACTGTTTCTACCTGACACCGATAATGAGAAAATTTCTATGTATCAAATTTGGATGCTTTGTTGACTCCTGCTCAATTGTATTCATGCTGGAACTTATAATACGTAGGTGTTGACCTGTTAACTGTTAGGTATAAATTTGATAGCGCTTTTGATACCTTATGCCAGAGGTTATATATTAGACTGGTTGTGAATCACAACTATCGTAATCAAAAATCATGTAGTTGAAATCATCTCTTTTGTGTATATTTATATTTATATGCCTATGAGCACTTATATGATGTTTTTGAGGTGCTTATAACTATCCCTTCCCTAATCCACAGAAGAAAAATTAAAGGGCAGAGATGCTTAGGTATAAAATAATTGAAGTTCAAGGACAGAATATTGATTTTAATGTAATTTTTGCAAATTATCTTTTTATTTTCCTCTCTCTCTCTTTCTTTTGGTGTTCTGTTGATTCCAAGGTTCTGAAAATTGAACCGGATTGGCCGGTCGGACTGGTCCAACCGGTGACTAGCACCCTCTCCAAACTATTCACCAAATCCCTAGTATGATCGCCGGTGAACGAGAGGCTATCAAGTGTTGGGGTTAGAGGGCATTTGTAGAGTGGAGGCCGGTGGTTCAGGTGGAAGTGTCGGATTGAATTTTGGACGTCGGAATCAGCCAGAATTTGGCTGGAAAAATCAACCCAATTGCGGCGTTGTTCGCGAGTCACGACTGGCAAACGGTGGGCTATTAAGTTTCGGATTTAGGGGGGTTTTGTACAGTGGAGGACGGTGGTTCAGGTGGTGGTGTCGGATTGAATTTTGGCCGCCGGAATCAGCTGGAAAAATCAATTTAGGGTCAGATTGCAGTGGTGTATTTGATAGATTTCAAACCTGCGGGGATTGCTTCGTATTTTTCAGGGGTGTGTTTGCAAGATTTCAAACTTTCTGGACCCCTTGGGACTGCCGGTTTACTGGTGGGACCGGGCAAACCGGGACCCAACCCCTTGGCCAGGTGACATCCTAGGTCGGGTTTCAGAACCTGGGTTGGTTCTATGATTATTCATGTAGTCAGGAGGTTTGTCTCACTGTCTGATATTAATCACTTTTTCGCATGTCTTTATACTTTGTTATTTGAGTTTTAAGTTGACACGGAGATTTTAATAAATACATAGGTGGACATGAAATTGCGAGAATGACATCATGCTTATTGTATTGTTGACTTACCTTGATTGAACAAGAAGTCTGGGGTTTTTTTTTTTTTCTGTCTTTTTTCCCGCAAGCTGTGAATTTAGGTTGAACTGTTTATTGATGAGTGCACCGAGCAAGTCAACTATGTGCTGTCATGTGCATCTCTGGTTCCTGTGTTAGCATTTTCCATCACCACTGCACTATTGTATTGGAGTAGTGTTTTGGAGAAATATATCCGCTTTCCTTTGGCTTTTCTTTAAAAAATGTTACTGTTCATGATATGGCAATGTTTGAAATTGGCATTGTCCCGCGTATGCTGCAAAGTGTACTCAATATTATTTCTCTTGCAAAACTATGGTTTGCTAACTTATACTGGTACCTTGACTAAATTTACAAGCCTCCCTTGGTAACATCTTCTTTTCTTCTGTTACTTATTGGTGTGGCAGTTGCTGGTTTAGTTTTCATGGTTCTTATTGTTGTTTTTAGTTGTTTTATTTTAATACCAGCTTTCTTATCAATAAGAACTTTATCTTGGCAGCGATAATGCTTATTTTGTGGATCTTTTTGTGAGAGCTTCAAACACACCAGCCATAAAGATGTATGAAAAAGTAAGAATCTTTTGAACTTCTCTTTCAGTTTTGGATGTGTGATTAAATATGTGCTTAGTTGCTATATCGTCTATTTCCATTATTTCTAAGCTACAGCCATTTGATTCAAATATGTCCCAATTGCTGGAATGATTTTTTTTTTCCCTTCCAATATAGCATTATCTTTTTCCTATCACCAACCTTTTTTGCTTTAGATTCTAGTCTTAACCCTTGTTCAAGATTTTGAAGTTAGTTTTTCCACAAATAAGAGTTAAATGCCATTGTTATTCAAATTCATAAGAGTACTAGTAAGTTTATTTCTGCCAATTATGTGCCATATGAGATTGGAATTGAGGTCGACATGATTCTTATATCCACTTTAATGATGGATAAATGCTATTGATATGGTTACCAAGTCCAGTTGCCCTCCTTGTGAACAGCATTGTCAAATTGTTATTACTGAAGTAGCATGTTTTGAGTACTCTACATCAACACCATACGGATGCATGATCTACTAGTTATTCCCATAAATGTGCATTTGTAGGATGGTAGCTACTGTCTTGTGAGGAGGCACTGTGTCATTATTTCCTTCTCTCTCTGTCCCTAAAAATTTATGGTAACTTTGGGCACCCTTTCATCTATCTTGACCCCAACACCTCCTGACTCTCATAAACAGTCTTCTGCTTTCTTCTAACAGAGGATCTATGAGGACATGCTCAACAGTTGAGGGTGTAGGAAATATGCTATGAACTTGGACTCTCTTCAGATGTCTAAGGCTACTGATTTTTTTTAATAGGAAACAAGTTCAATTAATAAAGAACTACAAAAGTGGACCAGCTGTCCACAGTTACTAATAACACTTGAGGGACAAAAGCTATAAAACTTTGTGTGAGTGAATCTTATGTAACAATTAGCCCATGGAGCCATGTGACTAATCCTTACTACAAAACCACCCCCAAGAAACTAATCATCAAATAACATCTCCCTAATTAAGCTGAGTGAAGAAGAAAAAAGAATTTTGAAATTCTTTAAAAACCGAAGCCCATAAAGATGCTAGACGAATGAAGGAAAACCGGTGTGGCTTGTAAAAGAATTTATATTTCTGGTTGGTTGGTTGACAATACGGTAGACTGTGTTATCAACTTGTGAAAAATGGCCAATTCACCACTTGTCTTGCTACTTAATTCATGTTTGAACAAGAAGGATGCTGTGGAAAACAATAACATGATTATTCTCTTGAACTAACCGCACATATGTTGTGTGTGATGNTTGTAAAAGAATTTATATTTCTGGTTGGTTGGTTGACAATACGGTAGACTGTGTTATCAACTTGTGAAAAATGGCCAATTCACCACTTGTCTTGCTACTTAATTCATGTTTGAACAAGAAGGATGCTGTGGAAAACAATAACATGATTATTCTCTTGAACTAACCCCACATATGTTGTGTGTGATGACATGATGATGCTCATTTTATCCTGTTCAACCCCACATATGTTGTGTGTGATGACATGATGATGCTCATTTTATCCTTTGTTATTTAAACAGCTTGGCTATGTAATATATAGACGGGTTCTACGCTATTACTCAGGGGAGGAAGATGGTTTAGGTGAGCAGTTTTGTCTAATGCTGACATCGTTATTTTGTTTTATCATTGTGTTGTTTTTCATCTTTTATCACTTTATGGTCTATTTTCAGATATGAGGAAAGCGTTATCTCGTGACACTGAAAAGAAATCCATCATCCCCCTCAAAAGGCCAGTTACACCTGATGAATTGGAGTATGATTAGCTGCGCTACCCATGATGATTTTGCCTTCTGAACTTGATGATGCTTTAGCATGTGCTTGTGACTTATGGAGATGCGGAGGTTAGGCATATTGTAGACTCTAAAGTTTGTGCATGTCAAATGTGAGATTTGAGGTTGTATTTTTTCACAATGACTTGCAACACCAAGATATGTTCCTATTTTCTAATGGTTTCAAAGTTAATCCTGCTTTGTTTGAAAGTTTGGTTTTTTTTCTTTGGTAGAATTCTTGGGTGACATGCATATTCTTTGCTGTACTATATGAAATTTTCTTTTGGCACTTAAGTTTTCCATTATTGCACAAAAAATTATCTGTGTGGTACTTGATGAATTTTATTATATGTCATGCAAACGTGAACAGTTACCTTTTTCTTTAAGATTAAGTGGTGATATGAGGAGCTTTCAGGATTAGAGAATGATCCTGGCTTGAACTTCTGTCTGAGCATGTTAAAAGTTTATAATTTCATGGAAATACACTGCATTTTAACGTTTCATTATGCTTTGTGTCTAAAAGTAGAGCGACCTTATTAGTTGAAACAAGTTATTTAGTTGAGCATGCACTAGTCGTTAGTTGGACCGAATCTCAAAGTGATATCAGCTGAATTGCAGAAGCGGACACCATAATCTGAATTGGGCTCAAGTCATATTGGACATATCCATAAAATTACGCTAGCATATATTTTCTTTTTTCGAGTTGAAACAATGCCTAGCATCAAACCGTACAAGTAAAGAAGAGGATGCCTTAATGGACCGAGTGTTTCTTGTCTGCGACAAGGGTGGACAGCTTCTCAAATTTAAGATTTCGAGATGCTTTATCAACATTGCTGTACATGTACGTATCTGTTTGATTTTATGTTTAACACAAGTAATTGAGAGAGGAAATGCCGATTCAATCACCGAAAGTTTTAACTTGAGAACAAGAATATCAGGTTCATTTGAGTAAGCAGGACAGGATATAAAAACATGGGATATTGACCCCTTGTTTGGAACCACAAACACAGGTATTGTTTTTATTTATATTTATTTTGGGTGGTTGATATGATTATTGATAGCATATGGTGAGATGGTCCCATGTGATTTGCATGTTCGCCGCTTGCAGGGCAAAGGAACAAGGTAGAAGAGGAGGGGTCCTCACGTGCCCTCTTCCTAATTCAGAAAAGAACCGAACTCCAAAGTAGCAAAGAGGTGATGGAGGTTGGAGGTGCATTACTAAAATAAGTTTCTGTCCAAATAAATGTCCATTTTGCTTTGGTACTCTTTCTGAAACTTTCATCGCACTTTTACCCTTGTCATTGAAATTCTCCATCATGTCTTTTTACCTTACATACCTTGCAAAAGCAAGATTCTACCTCTCATTTGCTTTTATGCTATACCCTTTTCATCATTTTGTCATCTCAAATAATGCCAAACTATGATGCCAACCGTAAGCTCTCTCTCTCCCCCTCTGCTTTTTAATACGATCTTTGTGTTTGATTTGGGAATTCAGATTATACCCATTTTCAATTGCATTTGAACAAATTAGTGTAATTTTTGGTTTGGGTTTTTCCTTTCCTAGCTCCCTTAAGTGTATGATTTTTAGGTGTCTATTTCACCTAATCCCCACCAAAGTGATCCATTTTTATGGCACGATGAAGAAAATGAAACCCATAATAAGGTGATTTGTCATCATTTTATGGCCTTAGTCAATTGATGATAAAAGGGCAGTTTTCTTCTAGATAGAAAAAAAGGATCAAGTTGGGTTACGATGAAGAGGTGGGACAAACACAAGACACTTTACAAGTGGATGCAATGAAAGACTTGGCCATTGCCCGTTTACCAAATCTCTTGATATGGGATTTGGTGAACGTCCACTTTGAAGTTGAATAGAATGATATTCAACCTCGTCACGTGTTATTGTGTTTCACTGTCTGCCATTTTTCTTCACCATTCATTTAGGAGGAAACCACCTCACCAACACCTTCAAAAGAGCCCCTCTTTCTTAGCAAAACAATTCAATGTGGTATACCATTTCATTTCCACTTTCTTTGTTTGCACAAATCCGTCATGGGAACTTTGATTTTTCAAAGATATTCAACGATCTTCTTTTGTTTTATTTACCCTTTTATTTTTTCCGCAATGTAATTAAGCAAAATATGCACATGCAGAGATGGCATTGAATTATACATATACATTGATCACTCCACTCTTTGAAAGAGTAGGGTGTCAATGTGATAATTGATAGTTTCATGATCACAATATGCAGTGTAGTAAAAACTCTTAGCAACTGTGAGAAATGTCTGCTTAATATCCGAGTCGATGTCATCTGAAGACTGTTGGAGCACTATCTGCACAAGTTCTTGCATATCGGACTCTATTTGGAGGCTTGCGATGCCAACACTGTCAGCATTGTCATTTACCTGAAAAAAAAAAAAAAAAAAAAAATCCAAGATTAATCAAGAAATTTTATGCCCCAAGGAAATTAAAAACTAGAATTGGATTTTTTTCTTGATGAGTCTGACATTACTGACCTTTTGGTTTTGGAAATGAGCAAGTTTATGGCAAATTGTGTTGGTGAGGTGGGAGAGTCTCAAGTATTGAGGATGAGACAAGAGCTCCTCCGAGATCCAACGGCCAGAAGTTAAATTAATTGTTTGTATAATTAACTCTGCTTCTCCTTGGTGCCTATTTCCTTCTGCTTCCCACTTCATCAGCCATTTGTCCCACTGCATATTGTGTCGGAGAAACCAAACAAAACAAAACAAAACCCCATTAACTCAATTCTTTGGATTCATTCGTTTCTTTGGTTATCGGCAAAAATTGGTTTCTGTTACTCTTTCCAAGGAAATTAAGTTGGTCTTCTCTTAATTAAAGCTTTAATTTTGCACATGTTTAATTAAAAAATATACTTACAGCTAGTCGTAAATGGTGGCTATTGTCTCGTCCTTGTGTTACCAATGCGTCTAGTGAAATTTGGTTCAGCGTTCCAAGCAATGCCCTAATAAATCCCTGTCTTATTTTGTCTGATTCCAACCTTCTGTAACACAAATCACATGCAATATTAATTTTAAACCTATTTAATAATAATAAAAGAATTAAAAAGAGCTACGTATGTAAATACATATATATACCTTCCATTAATATTGATGTAGTCTTGTGCATTGATATAGTGTCTGAACTGATTCACAAAGGCTCTTCTCAGCTTACCGGAATCATTCCGGTTGTCGAAATAAGATGTGATTGTCTCCACCAGAATGGCGGTCTTCGCCCAAGCCATTCTCTTTTGCCACCTTTCTGGTTCAAATATACTAGCTGATGCCACAAAATATGCTAACAGAAGGCGTCCGACGCTGATTCCAAATCTCTCAAGTTTACACTCAGAGTACCACCTGAAAATATATTAGTTTATGAGTTCATATCATTAGAAAAATTATGTAAATATACACAATTAATCAAATGAATCACTCACTTTTTCATGGAGTCCCATTCGCTCAGATGTATAGCTTGGCAATTGTTGTAGTCTAATTTCGCAAGTTCAAGATAAATCTCATTGTTTACGCAGGGCATCCTGGGGTTAAAAATTAAATTAATATAATATAATACAAAGTTTTCTGGAAACTTTGATCTTAATTGTGTTCTCGAACACGTGAGTCGGGAAGACTTGCATGCAGATAATTAAAATTAAAATTTAAATGAATTATTACTAACAGACATGTCTAAATACAACAATGATAATTGATAAAGATGGAAGCCTGCTAAGCTTTGTATTGTAGCAAACACTGAATAGCTTTAATCAGGTCGTGGATTGAGTTGACTGGACGTATCTGGAACTGGGGTTCGTCAAATACAAAGATTCTTGTTTGAAAATTCATATAAATGCATTTAAAAAAGCACAAACAAACGATCAATTCGTATACCTGTAAAGGGTTTTGCCAATCCAAATGTCGTCTTCGCCGCCATATTGTTCTATGTATAGTCTCGTTTCGATTCTAGGCAAACTTGCGTACCATGGAAGCTCCAAAGCGAAACCCACCTGTCAAAATCACCACTTTCTTAATTCATCTGTCATTTTCCTGTATAGTTTATTATTTACGCTGGTGACTCATCAGATGCCAATGGCGATTTGCTTCCAGCCAAAATAGCTGTTCTAATTAAGGCTTTTTGAGTAATTTTTCGTGTAGTTGTAATTTCATTTCACTTTTTTGGATGTTCTGTCAGTGGCCACTCCCCAATATTAAAGCTCAACATCAAATATTAACAGTGATGAATACAGTTGTTTATGAATAATCAGATTTTTTTAATGAGATTGGTTAGATAATCCAGCTCCACTTTGTGCCAACAGTGAAAAGATATTAAATGTTTGAAGAACTTTTTTGGTCATACCTCGCCGGGTAAGTCTTTCGTTATGATCCATTTATCCAGAAGCCCGTTGGCAGCTTGTTTTTCTCTTAAAAACTTTGCTGAAAACTGCTTGGCATTGTCCAGGATTTTCTCTCCGGGGAACAGAGTTTGAGAAGCTCTATACAGGTTGTATATTCCGGTTACCGCCTGATTCGATTGCCCGGCGAAGCAGAAGAACTCGCCGCCTTTCTCAAAATGCTGAAACACGTCTGTGATACACATCGAAAAAGGAAGATCACGAAAATTCAAATATGCAGAAGAAAAATCATACAATTTTAGGGATTGATTTTTTTTCTGAACTTACCTGCAGAAACGTCAAAACCATGTAATCTTAATAGCCTAAATCCCATGGCTGTGTCATCAATGTCATGAACCCGAGTATTTCTTGCCCAGCAAATACCTTCTTCAGTCCAATATCTGAAATTTAATTAATTAATAACACTTTTAATAATCTTATTATTACTGTGATTAATAAATTATGTAGTTGGTTATTTTATTATTTATTATATATCATACCTGTAAACATACTCCATAGATTGAGTAATCTCCGGCTGGAAAAATCTTGAAATTCCGAGGCGCTGCAAGCGATCCACCGCCCATAGACGTTGGAACATGTCAACCGGATACACATTCGGGACTAAATCAAAATACATTGATACAAAATTAGAAAAAAAAAAACTAAGTGAAAATGGGAGTTTTTAGTAAAATTAAATTAAAGGAGGTTAATTTGTATACATGTACCTCCACCATTGAATCTTTGGACAGTTCTTTTTAAATATTTCAAGCATTTATCATCCTTAGTTTGCATGAGCGCATAGGCAGTGGAGGATGGAGAGAACAAGAAGGAGCCATCTTGGCACTGTAATTTCAGAAGCTTATTCCAATCGAGGTCTGGCATTCCTTCCAAACTGTGGAGTAATGTTGTGGGCATATTGTGCATTATGTCTCTTGGTATCCTATCCCACACGCATAATTATTACATTAGATCCACGTTATCAGATAACAAAAGGGGCCTAGCTATTTCTTTAAAGATAAGGTCACTTTTTTTCTCCATTTTAATAATGTCTTACAATAAAAATTGAATAGTAATAATAATAAAAGTAACCAACATAATTATGATGGAAGCTTGAGAGTTCTCAATGAAATCTAACCTTGTGAGCTTTAAATTTCTCTTTGTATAGATCTTTTGCAGCACTGCTGAATTACCTGGCACTTCAATCTCTAAACTGCGGGCTATCTCTAGAAGAGAAGGGAAAGCAACTTCAAATCCGATTGGCATGTGCTCATCATTCTCATTTTCAATCTTCGATATGTTTTCATTAAAAAATCTCATTCCTAGTATCATGACAAAAGGTAAAAATTTAGAATATTACTATACTTAGAGACTAAGCTAATCTAAGTTAATTTTTTTTTCTTTCTTAATTTCAATACCTTTCTCACACTTATCCTCATGGATATTCCATGATTTTAGTGCTACAACACAGGCTAATGTGTTGATCAACCGATCATGTGCTGAAAATATTTTATCGTCGCCCCACGAGCCATCGGGAAGTTGATTTTTGGCGATCCATTGAAGGCTACATGGGAATTGAGGAGCTCTACTGCCATTGACATCTTCAACAAGAGCAACCCATGCTGTGTCATAAGCCGAAATGGTTATTTCTCCATCATCCATGGAGTCCAACATCGATCTAATGGTATGGACGCATTCCTTGATCTCATTTGGTAAAGAAACCTATATATTTAATTAAACAAATCACATCATAACTACCATAAAGTTCCATTTCCTTTTATTGCATATCTTATATCACAAAAAAAGTTAAAAAAGTAAGAAAGGAAAAAAAAATAAAAGTCTTTTTTGTTGAAAGAACCTCAAGATCTTCCTCTTCTATGTCATCTTCCACAATCTCTGGCCACTTTATCACTTGAAGACTAGTCTGAAACACGTCCGCATAATCTGTATGCAAATTTTGATAATTAACATTATTTGTACGTACATGAGTATGTATAAGTGTATGGATCCAATATTTATTTAAAAAAAATATAAAATCAAAACTATCATCGTACCTTGGATTCGAGGTCTTGATAGAGCACTGCTACTACTGCATCTTGGAATAATATCAAAGATAACTCGTTTGTCTTTGGCCCCAAACGGCCAAACACCTGTAAGAAGAAGATAAAATTCAAATTAATTTATTTTTCTTGGCTGGTAATTAAAAATTGACATATAATTTAAAAAGCAAAACAGGTTAATGGAAAACACAAAGAATACAAACATGGCCTGCTTGTTTGGGAAATATACGATGCTGCTATCAAGTAATACCAATGGCTTTTTCAACAGTAGTACAAAATATAAAAGTAGAAACCAAAAAGCATTAAGAAAAAGGATTTCTTTTTCTTTTTCACTGGAAATTAAAAATGAACACATTTTTAAACTCACTGAAAGTGGCCACCTTAGAACTTAATGGAACATATCTTAATCTATATTTATAAGAATTCTAATTACTTCTAATTTCTTTTTCAAATGTGTTTTCTCAAACCTCAAACCAAATGTTTCAGAAAAAAGATCTGATTAACAGACATGACATTCTGGATAATTATCAAGTTGAAATGAGAAAAAGAAAAAGATTAGCAAATAGTTACTGTTTTGCTTCTGGTTCAATCAGCGAATTGCTGACATATGAGGCCTCTGTTTATATGCATATTGAAACGGATTCCAAAGAGAAAAGTAAAGAAATATAAAAGTAAGAAAAGGTAGAGAAACTTACTAGAGAAAAAGAGAAATCGCTGATGGTGATTATTATGATAATTGTTGGAGAAAGAAGAAGAAGATCGTGGGGTGCCGGGAACCACAACAGGAGAGAGAGCAAAGGTGGAATGAGAAGACATGATGTATTTTGTTTTGCAGTGAAGAAGAAGATAGCCAAAAGACTTAAGTATTTAAAAGAGAAGAGAGGGAAGCAACCGGACAGAATCGACTTCCCAAGAGATTCCCGCTATTAGCTGCATGGGATCATCCAAAACTATGGAATTGAGGTCCTGTCCTTTTCCTTCTTCTCTTCTCTTCTATTTCTCTCTCTCTCTCTCTCTCTCTCTCTCTCTCTCTCTCTCTCTCTCTTTTTTCTTTGAACTTTTTATTTTTCAAGGTTTTATCTCAGCTAGTGGTGAGCAATGATGCCTTTGATACTGTTACTCAATTTTTGTTCCTGCTATTTATATGGGACTTATCATAATATCATCTGAAACCCATGACAACAACCTTGGCTGTGATATTAAAATATTAAATGTTATTCCTTTTTTGTTATAAAATCTACAGATATATATGTTTTATAGGGAGAATGGCAAGACTACCCTTGAGGTTTGTAGATTTATTATATATTTCAAATGACAACTTTTGCACGTTTTACAAATAGACCCTCATAATTTGAAAATTGTATCATAGATACCCTTTTGTCCTAACTCAGTTATGTTGTCATTTGTGGGAGATGGGTGAAATAATAACTTTGGTCTTATAAAAATGTGTTTTATTAACCTAACGACAATATAACGAAGTTAGAGCCAAGGGGTATCTATGATAAAGTTTTTAAACTTTGAGGGCTAATTTATAAAAATGTATAATTAGCAATTAACATTCTCCCATTATTTATAATAATATATAAATAGCAATTAACATTCTCCCATTATCTATAATAATATATAAATAGCAATTAAGCCAGAGAATCATTTTAAGAAGTCATTAATTTTCATTTTTTTAAATATTTGCAAATGTCTGCGTTTACAATAAAAATTTTTAAGTGATAATTGGTAATGTAATTCAATATCTATGCTGTCTTTAATCTTATCATAAGAATATCAAAAACCTTGCATGGTTGACAGACTTCCATATTTAGTGGCCACCTAGTTAAGTAAGTAATTAATTAATTAAAACCTTTAATTAATTTCTTAAATACAGAGAATCTGGTAAAAGAACTATAAATATGCTTGTTAATAAAACCTTTGGATCATTATAGAAAGCCTAGCCCATCATCTGATTCGTGCCTTTCTATAAATAGGCTTGTTAATAAAATCTTAGCTTCATTTGGTACACTCTTTTAAATGTTATTCTGGTTTTTTTAATAAAGTTAAAACCCAAAAATATATTTATTTCAATATTCTCAAAATTCTATTCTACTTTATTCATCTCACAAAATATTAATAATTACATTTCTCGTAAACATAATTTAATTTTACTTTTTTCAAAATATTATTCTAAAAAGTATCATAATAATGAACCAAACCGACTCTAAATATTTGCATTTTGGTTGTGAAATCTTAATTAATGTACGTGCTTAATTTAACCTACTATTAAATTAATCACGTACATTTTGACTCTACTCAAATAATTTATTAATTTAATAAGATTAATTAAAATGTCAAATTTTGATCAAAATGTGACATTTTTAATTAGTCTTATTAATAAATGTATCACCACATATTTCTCTTCAATAAATGATTGTTATTAATTGGTGAGTTTTAATGTGTTGGTCCAATATTTGACTCTTTATATAATGAAAATATAAATTACGCCGCAATTCCTATATATATATAATATATATATATATATAGATATATATATATATATATTATATATATATCTATATATATATATATATCACTTAATATTAATCATTGGTGTTAGGACAGACCCCTGAATTTTATGTAAGAAGAGACACTTAAGTTATATACATATATATATAAGAAGAGACACTTAAGTTATATATATATATATATGAACTTAATATTAATCATTGGTGTTAGGACAGACCCCTGAATTTATGTAATAAGAGACGCTTGAGTTAATGATTTCAAGCAATGTTACAGGTACTACAATTATTTCATTATCAATGAGATAAAAATATAAGCTAAATTTTATGTGTTGATATAGTAATCTGCACCAATTAGAGTGATCTAATGGGCCTTGATGGGATCAGAATTAGTGTGTGTGAGATTACGGATAACTAACAGTGGATGAATAATAAATGCAATAAAGTAAATGGCAAAGAGATTTTTAAAGTGGGCCGGCAAGTTAGAACTTGAACGTATGTTCACTGTTATCTTATTGCTTTTGAGAACTTACAAAGAATAGTATAATTTCTAGAAAAAATTGCTTAAAACAATTGCCCAGCCCCCCCTAAAAGCAAGTTATGATGGGTTTATATAACACTCATTTACATGATAGAGTTGAGATAATATTCAAATACGGAGAATTAAGAAGTTGCATGATCTTCGGCTACCTTAGTTGGAGTCTAAGTCAATCTGAATATCTTTCTTCCAAATTGAGTCAATCTAAATATCTTCTCTCTTAATAGGGAATTATCCCCTTTAGATTGACTACACAACAATAGCCCTCTAGTTTTTGGAGTGCGTAATCGCGCTTAAAAAACTCATGTCTTTGATCTGGATGGCTGTCGCATTATAGGTTACAGTCTCAAACTGAAGAACTTGAGTTATGCCTGGCGCGATCTAAGAGATCTGAGAGATTTTGAACATGTGATCTCAAGCGAATGAGCGAGCTTATGAGCTTAATCAGGGAGCATTAAGAGCTCAATCTGAGAACATAAAAAGCTCGATCAGAGAGCATAAAGAGCTCAATCTGAGAGTCCAAAGAGTTCGATTGGAAAGCGCAGAGAACTTGATTTGAGAGCATAGTTTGATCAGAAAGCATGAAGAACTTGATCTGAGAGTATAGCTCGATCAGAAAGCATGGAAAGTTTGATCTGAAAGCATTGCTCGATCAGAAAGCATGGAAAGCTTGATCTGAGAGCATAGTTTGATCAGAAAGCATGAAAAACTTGATCTGAGAGCATAGATCGATCAGAAAGCAAGAAGAGCTTGATCTGAGAGCATAGTTCGATTAGAAAGCATGAAGAGCTTGATCTGAGAGTATTGCTCGATCAGAAAGCATGGAGAGCTTGAACTGAGAGCATTGCTCATCATAAAGCATGGAGAGCTTGATCTAAGAGCATTGCTCGATCAGAAAACATGGAGAGCTTGATTTGAGAGCATAGGGTTAGTGATTTGAGCGCTCAGAAGCGCGATCTGGATGCTCGGAAGCACAATCTGTATGCTCAGTAGCACGATCTGGCCGCTCGAAAGAGCGATCTGAATGATCTAAACACGTGATCTTAATGATCTTGAACGTGTGTTCTCATTGATCTTGAACGTGTGATCTCAACGATCTTGAACGCATGCCCTCAATGACCTTGAACGCTCAATCTCAACGATCTCGAATGTGTGATCTGAGCACTCTGGGAGCTAGAGAGCTATTTTGAGAGCTCGATAGCTCGATATCTTGGGAGTTATAGAGCTAGCTTGAGAGCTAGAGATCTAACTTGAGAGCTCGATAGCTTGGGAGCTCGAGAGCTTGAGAGCTTAAGAGTTAGAGAGCCAGCGAGATCTTTCTAATCCAAGAGATTTGAGCGATCTGGCCATGCGATCTGAAGTTGAAGATCATAGTGATCTGAGCGATTTGGCCACGCTATCTGAGAGCTTTGATTTGGAATATGCTTCAGTATTTTGACAATAACTTGAGCTATAGATCTCATATTTGGATGATTTTTAGACCATCAGAAAGCTAACTCGAAGGGCTACAATTCTTGTGTTTACCGCTTAGCCAAATTCAGACTTTATCCTACTCAGATTTTCACATTTGATAACGTGATTCTAGAAAAAAAAAGCTGGGATTTACTGAAGATGTTGAGACTTGCTAGAAAAACATGGAGAGCTGATGTGAATCAGACCCTCCTTCTAATGGCAAAATGTTGATACAAAAATCTGTACCAACTAGAGTGATTTAATCGACCTTGATGGGATCAGAACTGGTATGTATGTGATTACGGATAACTAGCAGTGGATGAATAATAAGTGCAATAAAGTAAATGACAAATAGATTTTTAAAGTGGTTCAACAAGTTAAAACTTGAGCCTATGTCCACTGTTATCTTATTGCTTTTGAGAGCTTACAAAGAACAGTATAATTCTTAATAAAATTTGCTTAAAACAATTACATAGCCCCCCTAAAAATAAGTTATGATGAGTTTATATAATACATATTTACATAATAGAGTTATGAGGGTCCCCATAGTATTAAATTAATCACGTACATTTTGACTCTACTCAAATAATTTATTAATTTAATAAGATTAATTAAAATGTCAAATTTTGATCAAAATGTGACATTTTTAATTAATCTTATTAATAAATGTATCACCACATATTTCTCTTCAATAAATTATTGTTATTAATTGGTGAGTTTTAATGTGTTAGTCCAATATTTGACTCTTTATATAATAAAAATATAAATTACGCCGCAATTCCTATATATATATATATCAACTTAATATTAATCATTGGTGTTAGGAAAGACCCCTGAATTTATGTAAGAGGAGACACTTAAGTTATTGATTTCAAACAATGTTACATGTACTACAATTATTTCATTATCAATGAGATAAAAATATAATCTAAATTTTATGTGTTGATACAAAAATCAGTACCAACTAGAGTGATCTGATGGACCTTGATGGGATCAGAACTGGTGTGTGCGTGATTATGGATCACCAGCAATGGATGAATAATAAATACAATAAAGTAAATGGCAAAGAGATTTTTAAAGTGGGTCGGCAAGTTAGAACTTGAACTTATGTCTACTGTTATTTTATTACTTTTGAGAGCTTACAAAGAACAGTATAATTCCTAAGAAAATTTGCTTTGAACAATTGCCCAACCCCCCTAAAAACAAGTTATGATGGGTTTATATAGCATTAATTTACATGATAGAGTTGAGATAAGATTCAAATACGTAGAATTAGGAAGTTGCATGATCTTCAGCTACCTTAGTTGGAGTCTAAGTCAATTTAAATAACTTCCTTTCAAATTGAGCCAATCTAAATATCTTCTCTCCTAATAGGGAATTATCCTCTCCAGATTGACTGCACAACAATAGCCCTCTAGTTTTTGGAGTGCGTA